TTCAATCGCAAATCTGTGGGACTAAGCCGGCGGTAGGGTTTGAAGGCGTCGAAATGCCCCAGCTACTCTCGACCACCTATGGGATTACCTGTCGGAAAGGTTGAATAATATCCCTATGAGAAAAATATTAAATGCCCTGATGAACTCCATGCAGAGGAGAATCAAGGCTTTGGCAGATGCGCAAGGGGGATGTCGAAATTTTTTAATTTCACTTTGGGGGGGGGGGGGGTGCCATCATATGAATTTCAATAACTCATAAATTATCAGTGAAAATTAAATGAGATTTTAGTACTTGTTGATTATAGAGGAGATTAAATATTCGATATTAAAACTTGAAAATACGTTCGAAAGAAAATAGCTTAAATTCACTTCGAAAGTTTATAATGCGTTTCTTTTTCCTTTCAGTATATATTTTAATGTTAAATCATATCATAATGATTAAGATGATTTACATTTACATCAATTAATTTAATGATGAATTAAAGAAATTGATTCTGATAAATAACGTATTTCTCCAAAAAATCTAAACGGATAACGTTTATCTTTTGTGACGGAGGAGATTCCTCCGGGTGTTAGGGACCGATAACACTACGATTCTTATTACTCGAATTTTTTAAGTAATCATGTTAAAACTTCGTAATTTATCAGCCAATTAAACATTTTATCCACCCAGAAATCGTTTTATAAGACACATAAATTTCTTTAAAACATATTAGCTCTGTTCACTGAATTTTGAGACAACTCTCGTATATTAGTGTTCCTTTGTTTCAATGGAGTATCTGCTTCTGATTACACACAGATTAACTTAATTGTGTGCATTCTCTGTAAGTAAAATGGCAAGAAAACCCCTCTATATATAATTTGTTTGACCATATCCAAATAAATGAAACCAGAATCCTGAACTAATGAAATTAACACATATACAAGGGGTGATCAAAAAGTTCGCGAACTATCTCTATATTTAAAAAATCACAATTCAGGTCAGAATGAAAATTGGCACACATATATTCATACACATGTTCTATAAATAGCAGATATTAATTCATGTTTTGCTCTGTGTTTGTGACGTCACAATGTGAAAATGGCGTCAGTTTTAGGTCACTTGTGACAAAAATAGTTGACTCGGTCGTACTCGAGCAACGAATGGCTGTAAAGTTTTACGTATATCTCGGAAATTCCTTTGCAGTAGAACATGATAATTTGTACAAGGTTTATGAAGACTAAAGACTTACAAGAAGTTCAATCATTAATTATGAAGACAAAAGACTTACAAGAAGTTCAATCATCAATTGGATTGAATGTTTTATTGAAGGCAGGGAGATGGTTCAAGATGATGTTTGTTCTGTTGACCAGCAAAAGCAAGCCGGTAAAAAGATGTGTCCTTAATTGAGCAATTTGTTTTGAAAGATCGCCAAGTTACAGTAAGAAAAATAGTTGACTATCTGAGCAATAATAAAATATATAGAGATAACGAACAATATTCAAGCTCAAAAGTCCATTAAACACTACAAAATAGGAGCTGAGCAAACACGGACCTCCAAAACATCAGAGGTGGGATCAGGTGCCATGGAGGAGTGAGCATCCCCTGCCGACCGGTCACACCCGCCGTGTGATCCTTGTCATGATCGGGAAATAACAGAAAAATCCGTTGACAATTCAGTGTGTAGATAATGGCCTAACAATTAGAATGAAAAATGTCAGTCAGCATTTGACCCAATGATAAATTGTATTTGCTGACAACCATAGAACTTACGAAAAGATGACTTTAAACGAGACTGTGATATTCTTGTTTCATCAACTTGTTTGTCAATAATTTACCTCGTTTTAGAAATTGTACATACGTAGAGCATGCTCTTGCGTATCGAATCAACTAGAGATATAAACCCCGTATGCAGATGATACCCGTAGCAAATTGTGAGGAGATAGCTCTGTAGAAAAAAAAAGTTAGCACACGATCTAGCGTACCCTTCACCCCTCCCCCCCCCCCTCCCCCCCAATGATCTTCAATTTCACAAGAATCTCTAAACACCAAAAGACTTTTAATAGCCACTGAGAAAAACCTTAAAGATAAATAACTTCATTCTAGTAGACATATCTTTTTTGTTTATTTCATGTGTGGTGGTGGTTGGGGGAGTGAGAGTAGAGGGGTGTTGAGGAAATAAAGAGTTACTTATATATACAGGAAGGGGACTAACTACTCATTTAAAATGAGTTCCTTATAATTTTTTAACCACAACCATTTTTAAATTGATTTCATGTATGTTTGACGCTGTTAAGTTTTATTGTAATGTTTTATCTTTGAGAAAATGCTTAAGGTATCAACAACGTCATGTATGGTGTATGGAAAGGACGAAATCATATAAAACAAAGCTAAATCTATGATTTTATATGAATACCGCTTTGATTCGGTAAAATAAAGCATAGAACAGTTTTTAGGTATTAATTGTTCAAATTTTCAAGGTTAACAAACTGTAATTAGTACCAAAGACTTATCTCCAATGCTGGGACAACAGAACGTTTGAAAACTTGAGGGCAAGGCGAAATCCCAAGAAGTAGGTTTTTCTTTTACATTGCTTTTTTGGGCAGAGTGACGTTCATTTCTGTATAACTCATTAGGTGATTTATCATTTCCCATGAAGTGTGGAAAATACTATGTCTACTTTTTTAACTCGGTCGTTTGTTTTCACTAAATTACTAAAATTAATCATTTTAAAAATCTTACTGTATGAGGATCACTGAGTTAGGGTGGTTGCCAATAGACGATTTGTTTGTTTGTTTGTTGTTTAGTTTTTCACACATATGAAGACTCCACCACTTTTCCGTGGAGGGCTGCAAATTTAGACCTATACTAGGCACTTAGGACCATTAAGAAGTGATGCATTTTTTCGTGGCTGCACCTACTGCCAGACAGGAACTCGGTTTATACGGTCTCATCCGAAGGATCGGTCTCCACGTCCCGTAGTGGGATTCAAATGGACGCTTTGAAACATTGTGCAGTTTAATTATTCTTTGCCTTGCCCTTGAACATTTTGATTAAATTTGTCAATTTATATTTAGAGCCCACGTGACTATAGATGGTCACATGATGAAATACTTTAGTTGGTTTAAAAGTCACACCTGATTGACGGTGTTTTAGTGTGACTTCCCCCTTAGTAAGACCCCCCCCCCCTATTATTTTTAAGTGTGGAAAAACTTTTTATGTAAATGAAAATATGTCATGCAAAACAAAAAAAAAAACATCTTTATTGCATAACTTGTAATAAGTGCGGAGAGGAATACATCGGTCAAACCGGATTCCAATTAACCGCCCGCATGCGAGTACATCGCCAGCAAATCAATAATCCCGGCATCAGAAACACTCTATGTAGTGAGCATTTCGACATTTGCTCTCAAGGAAACTACACTGTCTTTCCATTTCATAAACTTATGAGCGATTCAGCCGTAATGAGAATAGTTAAAGAGATTTATTTTATAAATCTATTTTCAACTGAACAAACATTAATATATTGATGTGTTTATGTCTTTTTTGTATGATTAATTTGTTTATAGTTTGATTACTGAGACTGTGAAAATCATAATTTATTGTCCAATTTAATTTTCCGGAACTTTTACGTTACGTTACATAGTATGACGTCATGGATTTATTCCTTCCCTGAAAAGACACTCATGAGGTCATGACGTCATAGATAACGTTAACAAGCAAAACAATACAGTTCAAATGTTATGTACACCTGATGTGTGTGTGTGTGAGGGTGTGTGTTGCTGAGTAACTTAGATATTTTTTCTATGTAAATTTTAAATATGACGTCATTTCGAGATTGCATTGTGCGAGGGTTCCGTAAAATAAAAATGAAAACATATTTACTTTGAAAAAAACATGACGGCAAGGAATTTTTCATTCACATTTTTCAAATACTAATACATGTACATTTATATTTTAATTTAAAATTAGTTTTGTTATTTCTGCAAAGGGGAATGCATGTACTTTGGAAGCAATACTTCTTTAACTGCTAGATATGTGAACTTCCGAAAGAAATCATTAAAGTCCTGCTGGGACTTATATATTACATAAGTATTCATTTCGCATCTATATTTCACTAGAATAGAAATCTTAGCAAAATTAATAAATATATGCTATGTTACAGCGCAAAATGTAATAACAACGCAAAATATAATAAACTGTGATTATTACATTTTGCGTTATTGCATTTTGCGTCGAAATCAAAGCAGAATGTAATAATGCAAAATATCGAAATTTTTGGATTATTACATTTTGGATTATTACATTTTGCATTCCGATTAACGCAAAATGTAATAATTCAAAATTTGAATCATAACAATTAGCGCTATTACATTTTGCGTCGAGGTCAACGCAAAATGTAACAACGCATGTTTTGATTGTTACATGATTGTTACATTTTGTGTTATTTCATTTTTTGAGCTGAAGGCAACGCAGAATGTAAATAAAGCAAAATGTATGAATACAAAATGTAATATTTATTTTGAATGGTTTTGAAAACAAAACAAAAACAATAAGGATGACATTTACTGAGATGACAAAAGAATGTCACTGATGGCAATGACAAACAGCCTATTGCACATCGTAGAGCTATAACGTATTTTTCATGCTAGAAGGCTCTGAGTATTTCACGAAAAATATCCACAATAACTCTTAGCAATTTCGTATTAAGACTATGTTGTCAGCAAAATATAACAAGTACTGGAACGTTTTGGATAATGAATTATAATAAAGTAAAGGTTTGTGGTTCTAAATAAAGTTTGGGCAATAAATGTGTTTAAATATTCAAGCCCGATTTTCCCCTTTTCATTTTCTAATTTCTGTCAATTTTTAATCTAATATCAAAAGCACTGAATGATAAAAGCTCTTAACTATTTTCAACCTCAGTTTAGATCGATTGTCTTATTCTGCTTTTTACAATATTATATAAGGTCAGTGCTCATTTTTTCATATACTGTTTTAAATGGATTTTGTTCATATTTTAGATCTTCTTCACTGCATGTCTTCCAATTATATCTGATAAAACACAAACATAATATATGCAAAATAATACAGAAAAAACATAGAAACTTAAAATTTTTAGGATAATATTCTTAAAAAATATGTAAAAGTGAAAATTAAAGTGATAGGGACCAAAATGAGTGATCATAAGAGTAGTTATTTGAATTTTGAACGTTTAATCATTTTTAAGATAGCAAAATTATGTTCTTATTTAATAAATTGCAGTGAAACAAATCATAAATCATGATAAAGCTAAGTTGTCTATGATCAAATTTGCGCTGAATTTTGAATATGACAAAATGTGTTCATAATACATTGATGCCATCCAACTTAGTTATTTAATGCAAGTGACATACTGATAAGAGGAATAAATATTTAACAGAAACGAATTCAAATTAATAACTCTACAGAAGAACAAACGATAAAAGCAATAGGAGAAAGGTGATAAAATATCTTACCTTGAGACGTAGGAGTAGATGTTGTTGGTGTTATGACCTCTGTCGTTGTTGATTCTGAGGTTGTTGGCAGTGTGATGCTTTCCGTTATTGTTGGTATTGGTGATATATTGCTTCGTGACGTTGTTGCTTCACTGGTTGCTGTTGATACAGTAGTTGATTCAGCTGTTGTTGACTGTGTTGTCCTTTTCATTATTGTTGATTCTGTGGTCACTATAGCTGTGTTCTCTGTGTTTCCTGACGTTGAGTATGATGTAATGTAATGCAACTCAAAATGTTAAAAGTTTTTTAATTCATTTAACAAAGTTTACATGTATAACAGTATTGCATATTTCATAGATTCAAAGTAATCAAATTTTACCATATTGGACACTAGTTGTAAACCCACGTGCTGCGTAATCAAAGTCAAATATCGAATGAAGAAACAATGATTCTGTGGTTCTATACGTCATATTTAGAGATAAAACAGGGTTATATTGTTCTTTAAGAAACATTTGCTGTAACATACATAATATATGTAAAGCAGTACCAAAAAGAAAAAAAACAAAAACAAAACAAAACAAAAAAAAAAAAAAAAAAAAAAAAAAAATCAAAAAAAAAACATAGAAAGTTAAATTCCAGAATAATTTTCTTAGAAAAAAAGGTAAAAAATAAAATTATTTAGATAGGGACAAAGATAAGTGAATGAACTATTTCAGTGTCAATATTTAAATTTTGACCATTCAATCGTTTTTAAGATAGCAAAATCGTGTTCTTCTTTAATGAATTGCAGTGAAACAAATCATAAACCATGATAAAGCAGTCTATGATCTAACTTAGCACTGAATTTTGAATATGCCAAAATGTGTTAATATACATTGATGCCGTACAACTTAGTTATTTTATGCAAATGACGAACTGATATGAGGGATAAATATTCAAGAGAAACGAATTCAAATTAATAACTCTGCAAAAGAACAAAGGATAAAAGCAATAGGACAAAGGTGATAAAATATCTTACCTTGAGACGTAGGAGTAGATGTTGTTGGTGTTATGACATCTGTCGTTAATGATTCTGAGGTTGTTGGCAGTGTGGTGCTTTCTGTAATTGTTGGTATTGGTGATGTAGTGCTTTGTGATGTTGTAGCTTCATTGGTTGTTGTTGATACGGTTGTTGATTCAGCTGATGTTGACTGTGTTGTCCTTTTCGTTGTTGTTGACTCTGTGGTCACTATAGTGATGCTCTTTGTGTTTCCTGATGTTGATGTAATACAACTTAGAATATTAATTAGGTCTTCCGTTTTCAACGGAAGACCTATAGTGATTCTACTGTTTCTTATTATTAAGGTCTTCCGTTTTCACGGAAGACCTTATAGTGATTCTACTGTTTATTATTATTATTATTATTATTATTATTTTTCCGCCCATCTAATTTTGTGCACGCGATTCCTCGAAGACTACTGGATGGAATTGGATGAAATTTGCAGGAACAATGTGTTGTAATCTGACGTTATTTAAAACGAGGCATTATTTTTGGAAAATCACTTCCCGTGCCAAGTTATGGACTATTTTCTGAATTTAAAAAGACATTTTGTCCGCGGATAATCTCAAGAACGATCAATGTGAAACTTTCAGGGGTCATAGATCGTGATAAATCCTAGCCGGGACGTGACTTTTTGTTCATCGTCGGTACTTCCGGTCGTTACTGGATGCGAATTTAAAAATTCGAATTTTCTAACTTTTTTTGTTTTCAAATATTTTTCTTTGATATTAGTAGGGTTAATAGAGGCATTTCCAAAGAGGCTTAATATAAAGTTTAAAAAATGATAAATCCAAACTCTAGATATTCGCATTTTAAAAATTGAAGCGGGTCCAAAATGGCGGCTGTCTCCGTAAACTTCGACAAGCTGGTCGGCACTCGGAGGTCCTCGGGTGGATAGTAACTCGCACACTAACCTCGAACGTCAACGGTGTTCTACCATTTCGGGTTTAATCCCGATTATGTCTGAATTTTCTTTCCCATTTTTTACATTTAATTTACGTTTTCATCTTTATGAAAGATTTTTTTTTTTCTGTGTGAATCCTGCGCTATTTTCAATTGTTTTAAATAAATCTTTAAAAATCGTTGCATTTTTGAAGGACCCATGTTATATTTTAAGGACATTGGCAAGTCAAAGTTTCCGGTTAAATACATGTTTTTTTTTCACTTATGAAATAGTAATTGAGAGTGATCTCCCGTGTAGAATTCTCTAAGCGGTGAAAACCAATGTAACGTATGTTTACAGAGGTAAACAAAAAGAACGTGTACTTCCTTCAACGGGTAGTAACATCTTTACAGGAAGAAAGAAAAGTAGTAATGGCTTTGTTGTACATTGTATTCAGGAGACAAAGAGCGAACAGGTCGTCATTTACCATAGTTATGCTCAGTATGCTGGGAAAGGCAAAGATGTGACATATGCTGAAAGGTAGACCGACTGAGATAAGTTTCTAGGTTGTATGAAGGAAGCAGCATTTAGTAACTACGAATAAAAGGTGAAATAAATCAATGCCAATATATTTATGACAATGTGTTTCAATCAATTCAGTCAATTACATGATAGAATCAATCAATCAGTCTGACTCTCTTGACCCTTATGAATAAAATGTAATTATAGCTGTTAAGGGAAGTAACTCAAAAATAAAGATCGATGCCGGTATATCCTTGTCTTGTTTCTATATTTACATTTTCAGCTAAAATATCTAGAAGTCATAGGAAATGAAAATACAATAATATATATAGTACAAAAACTATATGAAATAAGTGGGTTTTGGAGAAATATTATGGTGAAAAATTATGTAGGTCCCTTTTATCAACATTTTACATAGGAATGCATTGAGAATTGCAAAAACACTGATTTGACAAAATCTAAAAAAAAGAAAGTTGGATTGGCAGGTTAAACAATCCAGAATATAGCCTGTTTATTACAATTAAAACTCTCAAGAGTTCTTGAAAAATTCTATACAATAACCAGGAATCTTGCAAATGTCCTTAAGGCGTCTTTACTACGAGCATATATAATGTTAATGTTTACATAAAAAGAATATTAAATATAAGGATGGTTATTCGGTCGGCAGACCTCTCGTTGCTCGCAACAAGTATCTAGTTATTATTTTTATTATTTTTTTGACTTCCTAATTTTTTGCACGCGATTTCTCCAAGACTATTGGACGGAATTTACATGAAATTTTCAGGAATAGTGTCTTGTAAAATGAGCTTGACCTATTTGAGAGAAACTTTGGAAATTTTACTTCCGGTTCCAAGTTTCAGACCATTTTCTGATTTCAAAATGACATTTTGTCCGCGGATAATCTCAAGAACGACAAGAGATATCAATGTCAAACTTTCAGGGATCATAGTTCGTGATAGATACTAGCCGGGTCGCTACTTTTTGTTCGTTGTCGGCACTTCCGGTCGCTTACGGAAGTGATCAAAGAAATTGTAAAATTTCAACTTTCCTTTTTTAAATCAATACTTACAACATATTATTGCATCTCTTTTGTATGCTGGTCCCACCGGAAACAAAAACGTCAACTTCCGGTTATAAGAGAAAAACTACTTAATTTAAGTATTTTTCTTTCCCATTTATATCTTTTGTAGATAAAGTATTTGAAATGAATTTTAAACATGTTATTCAAACTGCAAATGTCTAGGCAAATTTCAAATATCTTTGTAAAATTCCCTTCCGGTCACGAGTTTTTCCGTCCCCAAAATGAGAAGTTGTCTGAGCAAGATCTCGAAAACGGTTAGAGATTAAGACACCAAAGTTATAAAAGCAACAGACCTTAAGATGAAGGCAAAACCATTTGGGTTCAGAGCGTCAGCCTCACTTCCGGTCGTCACAGGAAGTGATCAAAGAAATCGAAAATTTCAACTTTTATTTTTTTAATTAAAAATTGCATCACTTTCTTGCATCTTTTTCGCAGATTCGAGAGATGCTGGGCCCACCGGAAACAAAAACGACAACTTCCGGTTATAAGCGAAAAACTACCTAATTTGGTTATTTTACTTTCCCATAAATATTCTTTATAGATAATGTATTTGAAATGAATTTTAAATATGTTATTCAGAGTGCAAATGTCTAGAGTAACCTTAAATATCTTTCAAAAATTCACTTCCTCTCGCGTGTTTTCCTGTCCTCAAAATGAGAAGTTGTGTGAGCAAGATCTCGAAAACGGTTAGAGATTAAGACACCAAAGTTATAAGAGCAACAGATCTTAAGATGAAGGCAAAACCATTTGGGTTCAGAGCGTCAGTCGTCACTTTCGATCGTCACAGGAAGTGATCAAAGTAATCAAAAATTTTTAATTTTCTTTTTTAAATTAAAACTTGCAACACTTTATTGCATCTCTTTCACTGTTTTGAAATATGTTAGATTCCAACGGGAACAAAAACGTCAACTTCCTGTTTTAGGAGATAAACTACGTTATTTTTATATTTAACTTTCTCATAAATATTGCTTATCGATGAAGTACTTGAAATGATTTGATGTATGTTGTAGATACTGCAAATGTCTAGAGAAAAGTCAGAGATTTTTATAAAATTCACTTCCGCTCGCGTGTTTACATGTCCTCAAAATTGGAATTTCTTCTCACAATACTGCACGGAAACAGATAACAACTGAAGTCTAAAACTTTCAGGACTGATAGTCAGTCATCAGTTCATTTAAATCGTGAGAAAATTTTGTATCGCTGTTACTTCCGGTCGTGATGCAAAAAAGTGATTGGTTAATGGTTATCACGTTGGATTTTCACGCTGACGATCAGGGTTAAATCTCCAGAGTGTATGAATTTCTTTTATCACTTTTTCAGCTTGAATTTTCGTTTTTATTTTCAGAATCGGACGGAAGACCTCTCATTGCTCGCAATGAGTTTCTAGTTCTTTTATTGTTTTGTATATCAGAAAGCAGTTCTGAATCACAATTTATGGAGATAAAGCATGAATATTGCTGATGAAGAATCATGGCGTATTTGATTGAAATTTCTTTTACATTTTTTTGTTTATAGATAATTTATTAAACCCTTTATTAGAAATTGCATAACAGTATTGGATATTTCATAGATTTAGTATAGTTAACTAATTTTACCATATTGGACACTAGCTCTAAACCCACGTGCTTTGATTATAGAGTCAGATATGAAATGAAGGAACAATGATCCCGTGGTTCTATACGTCACATTTGGAGATAAAACAGGGTTATATTGTCCGTAGTCCTTACATATTTCAGCAATGTTGTTCCCATTCATGTCACCTAGGATATTGAGATTATATTCACTATAAATTATATCACAAATTAATAATACCTATCCCTATTACCATGTGACGTTAATTGTACATAAATTCATTTTTGAAGTTTAGAAAATAGACATTTAATACCTTCCTTTAAGATGATCTTGTCATAGCAACCACTATCGTAATCAAGATTGATAAACTGGAAGGAAATAACAAGTCCTTGGCTCAGAGGCACTGGTATAAAAGTATAACGGCATTCAATCTGGCTACAAAAAATATGTGCTTGACGTTAAAATTATTCAGTGACAGTGACACATCATAAATATAAACAAACCACGTAGATATTTAATTTTGATGATAAATTAAAGATAAAAAATTAAATTTTTCTATCGGTAGTCTTCTGAAAGACTGAGACCATATTATAGTAAAATCGAATAATCCGGACACCAATGGATCCAAAGAAGTTGGTTTGATTAGACAACATTTCAGGTTAGACAACATTCCAAACAATTGAATTTACCCAAAGAGTCTAAAAAAATTTCGTCTTCATAGTAAAGATTTTGGATTACACAGCATCCGGATTACACAAGTTTATCACTGTACAATAAGCTGTTGGAATTCAAATAAAACTACTATGATTTCTTTTATTGGCCTACTTGTTTTATACTCTTATGAAGCAGAATTTATTCGAAACACCCACATGTACAACAAAAGAATACAGCTCTATGTGGACTCCGATATATTGTGGACATTTTATCGATTAACATATTTTTTTGTATGTCGACTAGATATTTTCAAGTTTTGAGTATTGATTTTTGAGTATTGAACATTATTGGCAAAATATCAACTAAACGAAACTAACGAGGTGATTTTAACTTTTCTATCGTCAATCAACTTGCCCTATTTAAACGTAATAAAATACCTATGATTGTTAACATTTAAATTTCAGATATGTAATAAAATTGCAGATATGTAATAAAATTGCAAATGTTTAAGCCTCCAAGCTGATTTGATACTCAAGACTATGTTTTGATTACAGTCTGTTTTTAAATCGAGGCAAACTACGTGCGTATGAGTTGATTTTAAAGGTGACAGTTTCACTAACAAATCACAAATTATAAACATACGATTATGTTTACTATTATCTAACGTGAACGTATACGAGCACTTCGCAAAACATGTAGAAGTAGCGCTTACGATTGGCAAGTTAGGACCAATTTATTGGAACTCTTCATGATAAGGATGTGTATTTGTTAAAATATGTTCCAGAGAGAGAGAGCAAAAGAAGGAAAGAAATCATTAAGAAGTAAAACAAGGGTTCACCATTTTTCTCAGTCTTCAAATAGAAATAAATGGAAAATAAATTAATCGAAAATAGTTTACTAAAAATAATAATAATAACATAATATATCTATATTTATACTGTACATAAAATTTTGTTAAAGTTCCTTTAAAAAAGTGTTCAAATTATATGCATCAATTATCTAAATATATTCTGACTTGCATTTTACGTTTTATAATTAGCAAATAGACTCCATACCTTGTATAATGTTCAACTTTACTCTAAGCTACGACACTCTCGTGAAACAAAACATTTGAAAATTACGTTTATATCCGAATGTTTTGACGAACTTTGCTTCTTTTTTCAGTTCCAAAACTAATGATAATAAAATTCGGTATGTTTAGTATTTTTGTTAACATATTGCCAATGCCTTTTCAATGCAATTACCATGCAGGTTTGTCATAAAATTCTTTAAAATAAATTATTTGGAAGTGGGTATCCTAATAAAAAGTGGATTTCTCTCTCTCTCTCTCTCTCTCTCTCTCTCTCTCTCTCTCTCTATATATATATATATATATATATATATATATATATATATAAAATATCGATTTCTCTTTGATTCATCACTTCTCATAAAGAAAACAAGTCAAAAATTAATATCCACATGAAAGCGTTTTTAAAAATAATACAGTTGTTTTCTAAACAAACACAAACACCAAAGGATAATACAACAGTATAAAGGATACAAAGAAGTATAAAATATAACAAACCTGATAGATGAACGAATATCTCGCCTCAGAGTAAGAGCAAAGATCAACAAAATAGTACTTCGTAACAAAAAATGAAGTAGATCATGGATCTATTTGCTTGCAAATGCTATTACTCTATGCGATCAAACGAAACGAAACTGCTGTACTTGAGCAGTTCTAATGTACCCATTTCCTATATAAATATTTCATGTTTGAAAAATATTTTTTGTAAAAAGATAAAGTATTTTTGTGTCATTTTTTAATTGTGCATCATTTACAAATCTTCCTGACTATTGAAAACTATAAAAGTATTTTTTTTTAATTATAGATTTAAGTTTCTTGTATTATTCTTTTATTCAATTGACCTCTCAATTACATTATTTACTGTGATCAATTATCATCTAGATGAATAGCAAAGGGGAATTTTTCTCTCCTTTCGGTACAAATTTCACAACAAGATCCATAGAGCCCTGTCAATCACTAGAACACTTGATACAGTGGTCCAAATTTCACAAATCTGGCAAAAATTTAACTTGCTAATTACAACTGTACTCTGTTTATCTGCTAGATCCCAAGGCCAGGAGCACAGAAAAGGATTTTCAAAACATTATTTATTTTCACTATATGGTGAATAAAGTCCCAACATAATACCTGAGCCCCTGACCCAGGGGCAATGAACATAACAATTTTGGAAGAGACTTCCACAAAAATGTCCATATTGATCGAGTCGAAACCGATCATTATCTGATATTTTCCACCTTAAGTGTCCATAATTGTTTTATCATAGATTCCGGTTTCAAATAAATAATACATTGAGGCTGCATGACGACACCAATAAGAAATTCATTCATTGTACTTCGCAATATTAGTGATTTGCAGAAGGGGAGACATTTAGAATAGATAGTAAGGTAACACAGTTATAAAAACTCTCTTAGAGTTTTGTTTTCAGAGAAAATGAAGCACTTAAATACTTACTTTGGGTAAGCTGATGGAAAGTTAGGAGAGGTGATGACATACGAAGACGAAATCGAAATATTGAAGGTATTATTCTGACTTGTACAGCCCGCTGTAAATTAAATATGTTAAATTTTTGTCAGCTCTTTTCCTCTGAATGATTCTGCTCCGTTCGACTTCAACTTTTTAAACTCAAACATATACTAGAATCCAAAATGGTAATTTACTAGCAAAATGACAGTCAACTTTTTTATATACACAACATATGTACAATATGGAAAATAATAACAAAACATATGCTAAATACTGATAGTTCAAATTGTATACTAGAATCCAAAATGGTAATTTACTAGCAAAATGACAATCAACTTTTTTATATACACAGCATATGTACAATATGGAAAATAATAACAAAACATATGCTAAATACTTATAGTTCATATTGTATCCCTGAAAATCAAAGGTTATTGGGATAAATATGATAAATAAATCATTATCAGTATCAAAGTCAAGAAAAAATTCCTGTAAATGCTCAGCATATTTTGAATTAAGATATGTTATGATGGCTGTTGAAAGGTAAAATGTCGAGCTTTGTATAAGTTTCTAAAGGGGCGTAAATGTGTATATATATTATATATGTATTAAAACAATGTAATTTGATCAATTTCAAGATAGCTTATGAAAATTGTTTATTCCACTCCTGATCATATCTAGATCTTGTAACGGAGAACACTCTTCAAAAATATTGCATATGATGTAAACCTATGTATCGACCAAGACCCAAGGCCATTTAGCAAGTTCAAGGTCCTTAATTGTCTCAAAAAAGTAAAAAGTTTTTTAAATAAAATTACAGTTGAAAGTTGAAGGTCCAAACAAAATTTAGTCGTCAACGAAATATGCCATTACCTTGACTCAAGGTCATTATGGCAAGTTCAAGGTTACTGACAAAAAAATGTAAAATTTGGTAAGGTCTATATTTTTTTATGAAAAAAATTGAATGCTCATATTTCATTGTTTTATCACAATTTACATTGATTTTTTTTTTGGTTCTCAAACATATGTGTACACCCATATTATGTCGTCACGTTGTGCTATGTAAAATTTTTTGAGTGTTTTGTGCAATTAGGTATAATGTACAAATAGTTTTTAAGAATTTTATTAAAGGGGGAAAAGGCTGTAAGAATAATGAAAAACTATATTACAGCTGACAAAAAAGTAAGAAGTGAAAAGTTTTTTTCTTGTTTAATTATATTAAAAGTATGTTGACCGATATCCTCGATTATTTTTTCAGATTGACTGATTGTGTATTTATTTAACAACTTATTAAATTGAATAAGCCTGTGAAAATATTTTTATGGATTTTGAGATCTTACAGAAAGAAAAATAAGACAAATCGATGTCAGTTAATGAAACTGTGATACGAATATTGGATCATTATCTTTTATCATTTAAATATTTTTCTTTTTGTAAATCGATTTTCATACAACATATTTGAATTTCGAAAACATTTTGAATTTTATAAGTTCACAGTTGAATTGTAATTCTCAATTATTATATTAATAAAATTAAAAGACATAAATTTTATAGTTTATAATCACAATTTGACATTTTAGTATACAATTTAGACAGTTGAACATCTTACAGATTGAGAAATACATTCATTAAAGATATGAATCATTTAATAAATTTTTAAGGAATAATAACCGATAAACTATAAACTAATGAAAAATCGATGTAAAAGTTGTTGAATTACGACTGAAAGGTGACTGAAAGACAAGGGAAAGGGAACGGAAAGGTCACGGAAAGATAACTGGAATGTGTCCGCTGAATGGTGACTGAAAGGTACCTGAATTGTGGTGAAAGGTCACTGAAATGTACCTGTCATTCAGTGTCTGAATGGTCACTCATTCAGTGGCTAAATGGCTACTGAAAAGTCACTGAAATACGCCTTTCAGTTTTAACTGAAAGGTCTTGTTTCTTCCTGTGCTGCAAGACGTATATATCTTATCTTAATACCTCTTATAAATATAACCACACAAATGACACTGCAGTATAATGAATTTTGAATTAGTATAAAGAAAAGATTTTGTCTATGTTTGTAGTTGCATAGATCTAAATGCAATGTTATTTACATTTTTCAAACATTTTGTATTTTCAAATCAAGACCTTTACCGATTGCAATGTCACTTTTTGTGGCCACATGTATACTAATCAAAACTTCTAACCCGTCACTCTAGTTTTTTTTTTTTTCAATATTATAGCTTCTGTCGAATACGGCAATAAAACACCAACATTTACACTAGATTTCTAGCAGCAATATTCGATTATTCAAAACCAAAAATATTGAAATCCCTGAAAAATCTACTGAACCCTGACGATTTCATCGTGAAAGAAAATTTGCAATTGTTTAGTTTGATTTTTGAATTGGGTTCTTTAAACAGTTCTTTAATCAAACACTAAACATTTTGAATAAAATGCAGCATATGCTCACAGAGGAGAGCGGGAGAGCCATTATTTTGATGCCAGATGGTTGAAGCATAAAGGAGATTGGTTTTTTTGCAACATTCTCTGCTTTTATCGCTATTTATGTTACCATGAAAAGTTTTAATTTTTTATTCCAAGTTTTTTTGTATTAATTCACACATATAAAAATTTCTAGTTGCTAAACAATTGCATCATCACCAATTAGGTGTCAATATGTGTTACTGAAAGTTTCAAGTGACCGGAAGTGATGCTGCCTTGAATCCTCAAGAGTCAAGACCCCGAGTAATCACTGCTCTTCAAGATCGTGATGATTTCGCTTATGAGAAATCTGGATTTACAGCTCTCGAAAAATTTTTTGTAGTCACTGGTGGAATAAGGTTCTTCCATTAATTTCATCATTTATTCAATCAAAATCAGTTAACCATTTAAAAATTATATAAATCATAATAATAAAATAAAAATTACATGTAAATTGTTTTTAACCAATCTTTAGATGATAACTGCTAATACATATAACATAGCATAATGCAAGATTACACTGCAACATATAGCTTTTCATTTAACTGGCGGGTTAGGAGTTTTGATTAGTATAAATGTTTTAAACTTTCCTACGAAACCTCAGCTTGTTTTGAAGTTTTGTCATCCTATTTAGTTGAAAACTTTGGTAAGAATTTTTTCCAGAAAACTATCAATATAATTTCGAAAGAACTTAATTACTTTAGACAGGACGGAATTGCCTGATAACATGCTGTTTGACCATTGAATTACTTACATTCATCTTTCCCAGCAAATATGTCAAGATAGAATCCTATGTCATTGGGATTTCGAGTCCCGTCTGAGGTGAAGCCGATCGTTGCTGTAGGTCCTGTTACTTTTGGAGTTTTTGTGCAGTCAACACAGCAAGAAATTGTTGTAGGTACACCACCTCCTTGGTAGTATTTTTAAAATCGAAAATGATGAAATTAATTTTTGAAAATCTTTGGATCAGACAATTTAATAACTTCAATCACAATTGCTTTAATTTAACAAATCAATATCTTTTATGAAGACGAAAAATATGTATGTTTATCATAAGTACCGTCGCGTAATGATAGTTCGTCGCCATCCCCACACTTTAATCGTTGTCCAATGACAAGCCTTGCAGACAGATCAGAAGCTGTGAAAGTCCATGTACATGACAGCAGCCTGTTCAAAAAATGTAGTTCTTCACCCATCTTTATCACTTGAGGTTCATTACCCCTCATGTGATAAATGACATTTCTTTATAACATAGTCATAAGAAAGGACAATTTCCTAGACCCCTTTACGTAGGCGAGTGCAATCAACAGAACACAACACAGGAAAAGAAGAAATGCATATGAGCATTTTCATGAGAAATTAGATTTATTTTTGAAAATCATGTTTATATACATGTTAAGTATATTAAATGAAAATCAACTAATACTAATATTTGCTGACACTGAAAGACAACTAAGCTTATACTATATAATATATAGTAAATATTATATTATTTTGATCCTTAGTAAAATAAAACTATATAGCTCGTAATCCTTACTTTCAAGGTAGATAACTGTATAAAAATGTCTACACTAGCAGTGTTTTACAACGTTTCTAACCAGATTGATGAATGTGTTTTTACTGTTTAAACCATTTATTTAAAACTCAAAAAGCAAGCAATAGAAAAAACATTTAAAAATATATATTCAAAAAGACTTACGTATTATAGGTTGTCTTGCCATCTCCAAATTGAAAGGTTGTGGTGGTTGAACCGATTTGGATAGAACTTGAGGATGAACACGTAAGAGTTTCCACTGCTGTAAAAAAGTTCATCAAGTGGAAAATGGGACGAATAAACAAAATTATATTAATAATACTCTCGAAAACTAATTCATTTGGGGAAGGATTTAAAGTCTACTGGAATCCCCTGACAAAAAATACGATGGTAAACTATAGTTAACTATATTGATTACTTTGGCACAATAGAAACTTTGACACTTTGATTTACTATTAATAGTTATAACTTTGACTCTTTGATCTGCTATAATTATCACTTTGAAAACTTTTATTCACTGTAGCTATAGAAATAACTTTGAAACATTGATTTACGATAGTTATCATCTGACATACGACTGTCACGGTAGCTCAGTCGGTAAAGCACTCGCTCCGTGATCGGAAGGTCGTGTTTTCGAATCACGGCCGCGCGACTGACCTAAGTGGATAAAAAATAGATAGCAACTGTTCCTTCGCCAAGCACTCGGCACTTTGAAGTGAAACTTGTGGGTCCTTCGGATGAGACCATAAAAACCGAGACCCCGTGTCACGACAGGCGTTATAGCGCGATAAAGATCCTTCACTGCTCAATGGCCCTGAGTGCCATGTAAGGGTCTAAATTTGAAGCTTTTCACCGGTATCTGATGACGTCTCTATATGAGTGAAAAATTCTCGAACTGGGACGTAAAACAATATACAATCAATCAGTCAATCATTCTGACATACTTTATATTACTCTGTATAAAGTGATATCTCTTCAAATGAAATATATGGAGATAACGAACAGTATTCAAGCTCATAAGTCCATTAAACAATACAAAATAGGAGCAGAGCAAACACGGTGACGGACCTACAAAACATCAGAGGTGGGATCAGGTGCCATGGAGAAGTGTGCATCCCCTGCCGACCGGTCACATCCGCCGTGTGGTCCTTGTCATGATCGGGAAATAACTTCTAGAAAAATCTAATGTAAGTTACTAAAAAAAGTTGAGGAAACAAGCATATCAGCAGTCTCGATTAAAGTCGTCATTTCGTAAGTTCTATGGTCGATACAATGACCTTGTCAGCAAATACAATTTATCATGAGAGATAAAAGACAAAATGAAATTGAATGTAATTGAAAAAAATGTCATTACTGACATTTTTTTAAAGTAATGCATATGTTCAAAGACAATGAAGTGTTGATAAACAGAAATCACTTTTGATTTAAACAATATTTATTCACAGATCTAAAAGTGAATAGGATTGGGCAGCAGGCTAAGCCTATCTTAGCCCTCTCCCTAAATCACTTTTGTTTACATATGTTGGCAAAATACCTGCATATGATCTATGAAGTGTTCCATCTATATATCTTGGCCTATTAAATGTTATGAATGCTTGGTTTGATCACGAATTAAGTAATAGGTGTACATTTCAATTTATTTTTTTCTAGATCAAAGGGCAGATAACTCGTTCTGCATAAAATGCCACAAATTCAGAACTCTTTAGTGTGTAGTGTATGGAGGACTCTTTATAATACAAAAAGAGATTGCAAAAGAAGGAAGTTTCAAACTAAATATCAGGAGCTAGATAAAGAAGTAAAATATACTAAATACAAGAAAATTTTAAAGAGCTTGCTATCGAAACTGAGCTGAAAAGTCATTGAGTAGACCTGCAGACGTTATATAACCTCACAAAAATCCTGAACAGGAAAAGATTTTTTAACCAGAAGTCTCTGTCGAGACTGTAGCTCTACTGGTTTGTACTTATAACAATTAAGGAAGAGAAAAGTAGCACTTGGACTTGAAACTTTGCAACAGCAATAAATAAACAATATCCTCGTTTTACTCTTTTTTGTGGCAAGATGAATTGCAATCAGACTAAAACTGTAGAAGGAGTAGCCATTTAAAAGAACTTTGTAGAAATTTAGATTCTAGCTACCATGGCAACATTATTCCTCAAAATCAAAAAACAATTAAGACAATCACGTTTCTCAGTGTAGTCTACTTGCATGCCATGTTATATTAAAATCAGACCAAACTGTAGGCAAAAGTTATGTTTTGAAAGTATATCAAAGAAATTCATTTTTTTTAACCATGGCAACACTTCACCAAAATCAAAAAAATTGATATACAGAATTATGTTTCTCAGTATAATCTACTTGTGTGCCAAGTTATAAATCAGGCCAAAACTGTAGGAGGAGTGGCATTTTGAATGTATTTCACAGAAATTTCTATTTTTAGAAACCATGGCAACACCGTTCATCAAAATCAAAAACCGATACACAGAATTATGTTTGTTAGCGTAGTCTACTTTTGTGCCAAGTTATATTGAAATCAGACCAAAACTGTAGGAGGTGTAGCATTTTGAATGCATTTCACAGACATTTCTATTTTTAGTAACCATGGCAACAACGTTCACCGAAATCAAAAACCGATACACAGATTTATGTATCTTAGTGTAGTCTACTTGTGTGCCAAGTTATATTGAAATCAGACCAAAACTGTAGGAAAAGTAGCATTTTAAGAAATTGTTTACAGACAGCTAGACAGACGGACAGACAGACCGACAGACGGACGGACGACGGACAACTAACTATCGCATAAGCTCTTCTGGTCTCCGACCAGTAGAGCTAAAAACCAGACTGACAAAAGATAATATTAGAAAGAAAAATGTTGCTAAAGTTAGAGGAACATCTACTAAATAGAAAGAAAAAACTTCAAAATACTAGATAGAGCAAACAGCAAAGGAACAAATAAAACAAGACTTAGAAAAAAACCTGAATAAAAAAGGAAGGAGGGAGAAAGAAGACAGTAAAACCAGCTACTAGTCAAAGGTATATATCATTTTGTTATGGAAAAAACAGTAGGAATTGACAGAATTCTACCAGGTATTGGGAGATCTAGGACAAAAACTGGTAAAATATGTATAGAATTTTGCATAAAATATGAGAAGTCATAAGTCGCGGAAGAGAGAATTGTTTAACTACATATACCAAAAAATGGAAATCTTAATCTCTGCAAAAGAATAAGCTGCACTGCATTGCATATGTAGCTAAAAGATTCTAATATGTACCTTGTATAGAAAAGGAGTTAATAGACAAAATATTAAGAGACGAACATGCCGGAATTAGATGAATCAGTATCTGCACGGACCAAAAGATTACAATATTCATTATCATAGTATAGAGTGACAATAATCATTTTACATAAACTCCAACAATTTTGAAAAACCCTTTATTTCATCTAGAGAGGATATTTACGATTGTCATCATGATTAGGTCAGTGCATGACGTCTAAAGAACAAATTATTCAAAAACAGCTCATAGATGTACATGAAGAATCATCTGCTTTACAAAAAGGGGTTAAATAAGTTGGCCTCCAATTACTTACACTATTCCTGATAGCTAAAGGCCAGGTAATTAACCAGTCCTTTGATAAAAGAGGAAAAGGAATTCATTGTCCCTTTCTTAAAAATTAGACGAAGTAGACATCGCAGTCTAAAAGACAAGAGAGACAAGACAAAACAGATAAAACAGGGATAAAGATGAGGCTTCAGATCTATACCAAGAAAATAAAATTAGACACGAAACAGAAATGTCTGTTTCAATTTTTTTGGTATACAATACCTGAATGCTACAAAATAAATCCCCTCAAACATTAAAAATTATGGAGCTACATGTATAATCAAAATACAATTTGGACTCTTAGGACCATAGCAAAAAGTGCTAAAAATGGCCTAATGTTTTTTTTTTAAATGAGCTTCTCTACTCCTATACATCTCGAAGAGAAAACTGAATGATCAGTTAAGGAAGAGTATGAAGTCCTCAACCAAAAATTATGTTTTTCATGCTGTCCAGGGCAGGGATTCTTCATAATGGTCATATAGTGAAAATGTACTTTATTGTAGAAAATTTTTTTTACTCCTGCATATCTTCAAAGGAAAAAGATATAGTTCGCTATCAGTTTTTTCATGACATCAAAAGACACGGGTCCTTACTCTAGAGAAAAAGTAGGTCAAAATGGTAATATACTAAAATGTTCATCTTCAAGGAAAACTGATTGCATGGTTATGAAGAGAATAAAGCTCTCAACCAAAGTTGAAAATTGTGTTTTTCATGACCCCCATTTTTTTAAAAAATAAAGTTACAGACGAAAATGAACAACAGACCAAATAGCAATATCTGATAAATTTAAATTCAAACCGATAATAATCTCATTAACAGCAGTGTCTTTATGATGATTTTAATATTTTTAGTATTGTTTAAAATTATATTAATCTTTAAAATCCTTCTATTTTTTGCTCGAACTTCTGATGTCGTATATTTACTAAGAAGTTATAATACAGGCTTGGTATTTTTATGGTGTGGTCATAATTTAGAAAATTCTATTGAGTCGAGCAGGGATGGGGTAATCGTAATCGAGTAATCGTTATCGATTGTAATGATTACTTTTTTTCAAGTAATCGACAGTAATCTGTAATCGAAGAGATTTTCGATTACTTGTAATCGTAATTCAATCGATTACAGCTAAAATTTTCAATGTAATTATAATTACTTTTTTTTAATACTTTCGATTATTTTATACATAAATGGATGTTATTTTGGAGAATTATTTCCAGTCACTCACACTTAAATATCAAATATAAACCACCTAGTGTAATGTTTGGATTTCCTGACTTTTATTATCATAAGTTTAATAATGTTCTCAATAAAATTTGCAAAAACAGATTTAAGTGCTATATTTAATATAAATAATTTGGTAAACAAACTACATAGTACTCGAAAAAAAGAAGAAGATGGAAATACTTATTCATATCTGAAAATGTTCAAACAACTTCAAACTTGTGTTTTAGTAACTTTAAAATTTGCAAAATCTGATTCTCATGTTTCCATTCAAAATTGTAAGGTTACGTTTATATCAGTGAGAGGTTATAAGTGTCTGTAAGAGAGGGAGTGTGTCACTGTGTTTGCTTATCTTATTTGGCTAATTAATTGACTGATACATTCCTGACTTGCAGATAATGAGGTGTAAACTGTGAACTACCTAGTGTTTAACTTTCATTTCATTGAAGACAAACAATATTATTAAAACAATTAATAGCTCTCAAAACACTTTTTCAATACAGAATGAAATTGTGCTATTAGTTTAATTACTTAAAGACACATTTAATTTACATGTTTATTACTAAGAGTTCTAATTTACTTCTTTTTTTAAAGACACGTACAGGATTGTTTAATGTGTACTGTCAACATACGGGCAGCCCAAATACTTCTAATGAAGTAATTCACAATAAAATATTAAATAATTTTTACAACAAGTCAATAAATATGGAGGTTTAGATCCAAGGTTCATGAAAGGAATAATTAATTCCTTGGCATATTTCATTGTAGGAATCATGTCTCCACTTTCTATGGTAGAGAATCCCTCATTTGGGCATTTAATGAGAATGTTAGCCAGAATAAAACCTTAAAAGAATCTGCACTAAAACTGCAGGAACACATTCAAACTTCAGTGGATAACATCAACGTTTACCATCTAAATATTGCTTTGATATTTGAAGGGATAAAATCTTGTAAGTAATCGATTATTAATCAATTGTATCTTCCAAAGTAATCGATTACAATCGATTACAGGACAAAAATGAGTGTAATCGATTAATAATCGATTACACAAAATTCCTCTTAGTAATCGATTATTAATCGATTACATTCTTCAGTAATCGTGCCCATCCCTGGAGTCGAGTGCTAAATCTCTTTTTCTTAATATGTATCTCAAAATGTAAAATATTTTGGAATGCATATTGAACAAATGATGTTCATAATAATGTTCTAAGAAAATGGAATAAAATCGGAGGAAAAGCACATTCTTTAAATAAATTATATTAATGTTCATCATCTCTGCTCACTCATATAAAATCCTTCCTTAGCACGTTTAACATAATAATTTATCTATTATAGTGACTTGTGTAATACATCATGAAATAGTTCATATTTAATATAAAAAAAGACAAGTACTTTACACCCGGCCCTTTGGACCTATAAGTCACCTGTATTTAAATCTAACATTTTCCCTCACGGACTAATTATGTATGTACAGTTGTACATCGTGTAAATCGTTAACATTTGCTCCTGAGAACGAATGTAATGACTTTATATACAATATACATAACAACTGATTATATATAACATGAACAAGAATGTTTTGATATATAAGAAAATCATACGAGTAACCGGTTACTCGATCGATAAAGTAAGCGAGTAACCGTTTATCAAGTACATGTAGTGGTGTCAAATCGGAGGATTTTAGTAACCGGTTACTCGATCGCTTACTTTATCGATCGAGTAACCGGTTACTAGGATGTTTTCAATGCATGTGGCGGCATGTTTATCTTGTACTGCGGACTAGCACAGGTTTATGTAAGGTAATTATAATTAAATCAAGCCTTCAAAACATGTATACCCCTTTGCAATCATAGCCATCAATTAGATAAACAAATCGATCGCATTTGTAAAACGCTAGGTCTTACTAAACTAGACTAACATTAAATAACGGTAAATAAAATGGGGGAGTTATAAACAAAAATACATTATTCCTACTGATTTGCTTTATAAAATTCAATATATCCGAGTAGCAGGGTAGCAGTTTTACTAACCAATGCTCGCATCGTTCGACGATTAACCGGTTAACCGGGTACTCGTTGACAACACTACTTTCAAGATACCTCAAATGTTGACATAAATGACAAGTTCTGGTGACATTTTATAAAGGAATGATAGTCATTTATGCCGGTAAGAACTGTCTCTCTCATCTGAATATCATTAAACCTTAATGAATATCTCAATCAAAATCATAACACATTTCATCTAAAATCGGACGGAAGACCTACTCGCTGCTCACAACAAGATCTCATTCAGTTAAAATAAATAATTTTATTATCATCATCATTGTTCATTTTCTTCACATGGCCTTCTGGGAAAGAGAGTGACTACAATATGAAATATTTGTTTTACATACTTGTGTAGTTATAGGTTTAGCCACAATACGGGATAAGACTTTTAAATGGGAATATATAAGAAAATACCTTCTTCACAAAACTGATGTAGTTTTTTCAGCTTAAAAGAGAATATTAAAGTTTAAAAATCTCTTTACCTCCTTTGCTCAGTTTCCATGCATTCAACAGGCTGGTGAAGATAAAAATGGTGCAGGGTCATCGAATACTAGTGTTCTAATTTAAAATAAAAAAAAGAACTCTGTCGTATTAACTAAGAATAAGATAAAATGTAAAAATTTTGTTTAATATATAATTATATTGTCAGAAATTGTAAACGAAAAAAAACAACTGAAAACTACTGAGCTGGTTAGATTGGAGTACCAAACATTTGCAAACTGGTTGGCTATCATTACCTAAATCTCTCTCTCTCTCTCTCTCTCAATATTTCATAAACTTTTGTTGTTTTATGTTTCTTATAAATTTTGTTAGCACAGCCTATATATGTTAATTTTATCGCATTAGTCCGCGACTTTTTGAAAACCCCTCGTACACACCCACACCCACCCTCACACCCTCACACACACCCTCTCTCTCTCTCACACACACACACACACCCCCTCACACACACACACACACACACACACACACACACACACATATATATATATATATATATATATATATATATATATATATATATATATATATATATATATATATATATATATATATATATAAGTTTACTAAAAATTTTATTGTAATCAAAAAGTGTCCTCCATCAGTGATAGCGAGATGAGAAACTTAATACTTTAAACGAAGTTATCATCGACAATTGCAGGGTAATAAGGAAAATTCAGAACCTTACATGCTTTTCAATAACGATAGAAGTATGAACTTGTTCTAATTTAAGTATAAACATTTATTTAAAGATGAATTTATAAATATATGCATGTAAATATTATACCGCTGATAAACGGGCTACAGTGTAGGTATACATGGTGTAATGACGTTGGTAAGAAAATAAAAATTTTAAATCTCGAAAAAACTTGCTGATTTATTGCACAGCTTGTCAGTTTTGATAACATTAACTAGTATATGATTATAGCAGAAAGGATAATTATTTAGAAAATTAAGATCCTGTCACCTTTTCATACTATAGGTATATATTATTATCAATTACCTCCCTTTTGTTTCAATGACGATTCTAGTCGCTCAAGTATTTACACTATGATTTAATTTAAGATATTTAAATATATTAAATTAACAAAGTTCTGTAATTTTACATTTGTGAATAAGTTAATACGTGTGTTTAGATGACAAATTATATAAATATATCGTGCAAACGAGTTTCTTCGTCTTCGCTCGTCTCCCTCGCCATCATCACTGTTAACAGGTTAATTTACCATGTTTACATATATTTTTCGTATTTTTTCTTGCTAACAGTTCAAAAAAAGGATGAATATTCAACTTCATACTGATAAAATCAGTGATCTGGTCGTTCATAACGCAGAAAATTTAGTTTGCATCGCGTACATTTTAGTAAGATTAACGTAAACAGCAGATCAGCCATTGTCGCATATGACGTTACGTAGTCACGTGATCGCCATCTAATCAACTTGGATTTTTAACTGAAGGGTTTTTATTTTAATCAATAGTGTTTAATTACCGCGTTATCTCCACAATAAAAACAGGATAATTATACACTATGATCATGAGGGACATAATATGCTCTTAATTTCAAGTAATTGAAAAACACGAGACAATTAAGTCCTTTAAGAGTTGTTGTAAAATGAGCTTTATGAATAAACATTAAATTTCATTACAACGTGTATTGGTAACGATCCTCTATTAAAACTCATGTTCAAACTAGAAATATGTCCATAGGACATGAATACCCCGCCGAGGGTATAATAGTAATGCAACATTTTAACACAAATTGAGAAAAGTGAGGTCAAGGTCGAAGGAAAGGTCAAAGTCAAAAACTGTTGATGCAGTTGAAAAGGTTACATCAGTATGTATTAGCATATGAAGTTTGATAAAAAATATTATGAATGGTTTCTTTAAAACTGAGCTAAACACTAATTTAAGAAAAGTGAGGTCAAGAAAAGGAAAGGTCAAGGTAAAAAATATTGATGCAGTTGAATAGCTCTCATCAGTATGTATCAGCATATGAAGTCTGACACTAATTTAAGAAAAGTGAGGTCAAGGTCAAAGGAAAGTTCAAGGTAAAAAATATTGATGCACTTGAAAAGCTCTTTTCAGTATGTATCAGCATATGATGTTTGTTAAGAATATCTTAAATTGTTTCATTAAAACTGAGCTAAACACTAACTTAAGAAAAGTGAGATCAAGGTCAAAAGAAAGGTCAAGGTCAAAAAATGTTGATGCAGTTGAATAGCTTACATCAGTATGTATCAACATATGAAGTTTGATTACACTTTTTTGAATGATATCTTTAAAACTGAGCTAAACACTAATTTTAAAAAAAGTTAGGTCAAGGTCAAAAGAAAGGTCAAGGTCAAATATTGTTGATGCAGTTGAATACCTTACATCAGTATGTATCAACATATGAAGTTTGATTACACTATCTTGAATGGTATCTTAAAGACTGAGCTAAACACTTATTTAAAAAAAGTGAGGTCAAGGTCAAAGAAAAGGTCAAGGTAAAAAAAATGTTGATGCAGTTGCATAGCTCTCATCAATATCTATCAGCATATGAAGTTTGATAAAAATATCTTGGATAGTTTCTTTGAAACTGAGCTTTGAACAGAGCTAAACGCAAAGTGTGACGGAAGGACAGACGGAAGGACGGAAGACGGACATGACAAACACTATATGCCCCAGCCATATTCATGGCGGGGCATAATAAGTGTATATCACTTCCATTCTCAATGACCATGTAGTGTATGACGTAGTGTAGGATAGCGCCGCGAGAATTCCATCGGCATCGAAAGCAAGTTTTTGACTTGCCTAGATAGCCGTGCGGTCTAACGCGTTGTTCCTGTACTGCTAGGAGACAGATACTGTAGGTCGAGGGTTCAACCCCGGGCTGGGGCGAAAGTGGGTATCCTTATAAAAGTGAATTTCTTCGCGCTTTCTGTATTAATATTTCTTCACTAAGGGCAGTTATGTTAGTTTAAGAGTTTATGAATATATATACTTGTATCTTCCTTAAAGCTATCGCGCAAGAATATAAAGCGTTATGCGTATTACATGCGATACGGTGTCGGCACTATTTCTCTTCTCTACTAATATCTCAATTCCATATATAAGACGTTTGGTCATCGTCACGGGCTGATGCACACTGACCTAAAAGGCCTAGTGTATACATTGATAGGTATGTCAAACCTGTACTGTCTATGGGGATTTCTATTTCATTCAAGTAATACAAAATGTAGCACTAATCGTAAATCAGAAATGAGTAAAAATAATAATTAGTAAAAAAAAAAAAATAATAAAATCAGGATTGAGTAAATAATGTTTTGACACATACTAATAACTTACACGTTATTACAATCGAACTGCAGTGAGAGACACACATCGAACACTACGAAAGTGGACAATTTGTGGAGACAGTACAAGTTTGATGGATCCAACGGTAAGTAGAAATAAACATAAAAACGATTAGAATAAAGTATCCAAATTCTTTTACGAAATACATCCAGAGCACATTCACGCCCTTCCGACATGTTGACAAGTCACTTGACAATCCAGTTTTGCTAAAAATAGATAACATAATTATTTCCATTTTCATGCGCATGCCTCTCAAAAGGATCGGTTATTATTTTTTTATTCAATGAATATATTCAATAATTCAAATACATCCTCCTGCTAATTATTTAAAGGTTTTGCAAGAAGTATTTAAAACAAAGAGAAAATGGTCTGTCTGTCTTTTATGTTCTACACATTTTAACTAGTCTGTATGATATTCTGCAGAACTCCGGGGGGGGGGGGGGGGGCAGAATTATATATATAACATGAATGTGAGGGTGCATGTTTTCAGATGAATTCTTGCCTTTCTTTCATTCTTCAATGGGGTTAATAGGCAAATTGTAAGCCGGTATATTTGAGGAAATTTCACTTATATATATATATATATATATAAGCGTACAATTTAAACGTACAAAAATCAGATGTCGAAATAAAGTATAAGCTTGGACACCTGAATTTGTGTAGAATTTCAATCACTTTTATTTATAAAGGTTTCTGGGAACATGATGGAATCTGAGGAAGAGACTTCAGATACAGAGGTGATAATTTTTATTTTTTTATTTTTATTATTTTTTTTTTATGGTCTGCCCTCTGAAAAAGGATCTCTGTCAGAGTTTCAATTTCATTTAAAAAAGAAAAAGAAGGCCACCAACCCTGAACCCCTTTGAAAAGATGTAAACTGATATAACTTTGTAGTCATTGTGTGTAGAAAAAAAAAGAAACAAACAAACAAAAATCATCCTGCATCTGATTGATTACAGTGTATGAATTCATCTATATTATAATCATTTCTTCGCCCTTTTCATGTACTATGATATTTTTAAAAATCAATTTCTACAAAAAAAGTAGCTTCTATACTATCATTATTATATGAAGCGGGAAAATGGATTAAATACTTTTTGGAACAGTCCATGTACTTTATGGCTTATAAAGAATTTGTGTGAAATAAAAATTTTCATATGTATGCATGAAGTCATTTTTTAAGGAAATAAAGGTTCAATATCTCTCAAATTATATTCTTTCATCGTTAATAACTCTATTATTCTCAATAAAAATATGCATGTAGGAATGTGAAAGTACAGTGGAAAAATTATTACGAGAAATATTTGGTGACGATGATGCAAACGAGACCATGGATCCAGAAGATGTAGATACAGAGGGAGAAAACGACGCAGATGAAGCTATGTGGCACAAGTATGAGCCTCTCTCTCTCTCTCTCTCTCTCTCTGCGCCACATAATCAAAAGCGCTTATAAAACCTTTATCTATATTTATATACGCTACATTACTCATTTATGTTTGAGGGAGAAACGAGCAAGACGAGGAAATCCATCTTGTAAAGGACAGGAGGTTTATCGTCGGCGAAAGGAAAATTCTCTACCTTATAGAAAGATCAACGTGTTCAGAGTGTGGAGAGCGCATTGATACATGTAATTCTACCATACAGGAGGGGGAGAAGATTGCTGCTGGTATAAAATACCAGTACCTCTGCGTTGTATGT